GGATGAGGATGGTTGGATGGATAGATGGATGGTGACTAGGTGGATGGTGGGTGGATGGATGGGTGGAGGAATGATGGAGGGCTGGAGATGCAGGCAAAAGTGGAGGGGTTGAAAGTTTAGGGTAGATGGAGGAACAGACAGGGCAAGGAAGACAGTCCTGCAAGGGCCACTTGGTGGGTGTGACTCCTCCAGCACCCTGCGGGCTGCACCCTGAGACCAGGAAGCACATCTTACTGGGCTCAGTTGGGGGCACAGTGTCAGCTGTCAAGTCTTGATCTCTCCCCAGCTCCCACATCAAAGGCTAGTCTCTCCCTCCTGCCCCTACTGCTGCCGGGAGACCCCCAGCCCTGACCCCCACCCTGACCGGAATCACGGGAGGTCTGGAAGCATCGAGACCTTAGAGGGCCTTGCCCCATCAGGGAGCTCACACCAGGGCACACGTGGGCACACGGAGCCCTGTAGTCTCACAGTGCTGTGCGCCCATGTGCCCAGCACCAGGCACTTAACTGATACCTACAAGAGGCCATGGCCCAGGGGGGAGAAGTGGGCAAACAAAGCCCCGCTGCCCAGTCACTTCTGACTTGAAGTCAATTCTGACTTGTAATGACCACACGGGATGGAGTAGAGCTACATGCAGGTCTTTCCACGGCTGGACAGCTTTGCAAAAGCAGACTGGAAAAAACCCCCAAACCCCCCAAAACAAAAGCAGCCTGCCTCACCACCTCGGCATTTCCCCTGAGTCATGGTGGGTTCAAAATCGCGTTGTTGTTTTTTTAACTCAGTCTGCCCTCAGGGCATGAGTGCAAAAAAGAAACTGAGGCAGGGCTATGGGACAGAGAGCATCGGAAGGCTGGTGGTCAGGGTGGGTGGACCTCAGTGGGCAGGAAACATCACAGAAAAGGGGAGCCACCCAGGAGGTGCTGGGGAAAGCGTTCCGGGCAGCGGGAACAGCATGTGCAAATGTCCTGAGGCAGGCTCATTCAGGACCAGCCTCCCCTCCCAGGCGGGGGCTCTAACATGGGCTCACAAGGCAGATACCTCAAGTCCACGTCCTGGTAGATGTGGGGTTCCATTCTGACCATGTTCTCCTCTTCATCTTCGTTTCTGGAGAGATGGAGTACATGGGGTGGTGAAGGCTGATCTCCCACGCTGAGTCCCATGAGCTCAGGGCAGGCTCAGGAGCTGGGCCGCGGGGGTCAGAGTCCCAGGAAGAGTAGGGAAGGGGGGCACTACTGGGCATCAAGGGGAGAGAGAGGCAAGGGGGCCACTGCGAAAGGAGGGTCGAGGGGAGGGAGTGAGAGTGACCCCAGAGGGGCCGAGGAGAGGGGCTCTCACCTGCGTTTGGAGCACCAGACGCGGTTGGCCAGCATGAGGACAAAGACGATGAACAGGAAACCCACGACGGCCGCCAGGCCCACCAGCCAGGGCTTCAGGCGTGTGGAGCCTGTGGGGAGGGAGGTGCTCAGATGGAGAACGCGGAGCCCCCCAGACAGGGGGCGAGGGCCATCAGGGAGGCTGCTGAGGTGGAGGAGGGTCTCAGAGAGAAGAGAAGCCTCAGAGAAGGAGGGGAACCTCCCGAGAGGGGGGCTTATAGAGGAGGGGACCCAGTGAGGTACTGTTGGGTCGTTTCCAGGCCACCAGCAAGATGTGACAGCGTGGGATGCCCCAGGACGTGTCCTGGGCTGGGATCTTCACAGCAGGTCACTAGAACAAACTAGTTCTCCCGGAAGCCACTGGGGGCTTTGCAACTCTGGGCTGTGAGCTGGGGTTACCCACTGCTCCCCCAGCCTCTTTCTGGGGATGTAGGGGAGATAAGAGATGGGAGAGGGCTCACTGGGGAGAAGAAAGACATGGGGGCTCCAAGAGGAGCCTGACCCCATGCCCGTTCTTCCTGCCTCTTCTCAGATGCCACAGTTTCTCATTATGGAAAATGGGGAAATGACAAGACCCCCCCAACCTCTGTCCCACCAGCCCTGCCCCAGAAATGGCCCCCCTACCTTCCTGGGCCTCTGCGGGGTCGAGGAACAAGGCGGCAATCACGAGAAGTGGCCCCAGGGTCTCCATGGCCGGCAGGCAGCAGGTAAGCACTGGCTGTGGGTCCACCGTCCACACTGTCCACACCGCCTGGGTGTGAGCAGCTCGCCCAGCCCTTGGAGTCGGCCCTCCCTGGCACCTCCCCTCCGGAGGCAGACTCTGGACTTCACCAACAATTAACCTGGAACAGGCCACCTCCCTGCCCCCAGCCCCCAGCCAGCACCCTGGGCACCCACTGCATCCTGGCTGCTGGGATCAAGTGAGGGGGTCCTGACACCCCTCCCAACGCCCACACACACCCCCATACACACATGCCCTGCCTGTGCGCACCGTGAATGAACTGAGGAGCTGCTTGTAATAAAGAGAGAAGGCGGAGTCTGTTGCCTACATGTTAGTAGTTAAGTGGTGTTTCCTCTCCCTCCTCACCCACCATGGTGTTAAAGATGCATCTGAGAAAGAGAAGAGATCTGTTCTGCCGAAAGTCCAGCCTCGGCGACCCCAGGAGTCCCTGGGAGCCAGTCGTTGGTTAGGTTAGCTTAGGGACAGTCGGTCACTAGTCTAAAGGTTGGAGATTGGACTCCACCAGGAGGTACTTCAGTAGGAAGGCTGACAATCTCTCTCTCTCTCTCTTTCCATGGAGGCTTGTGCGTGGCTGGGACGCTGAAGGTTTCAGGGGAACTTTAAAGGAGACTAAGAAGAAAGGCCTGGCCACTGGAGTTTGGAAAATCAAGTGGTACACGATTTGACTCTGACACACATGGGACCATGCAGCAATGTCAGAGCACAACCTGCACCTGGGACAGGTGTTTCCCTCACCTCCAGCTCACACTGCCTTATCCAGCCCCCAACCCCAACTCCTGCGGCCCCCATGGGTGTGGGTGAGAGCAAAGCAGCTGTGTGCCCACCATCCACCCTCAGACCTAGGTGCTCCTGCGTGTCCAGAGAACTGGGGGTGCCCTGGGAGGGTGGTGACTCAGGCTTTCCTGCCCTCATCGACCTTGGCCATGAGGCTGATTAGATAGAGCCCCACCTGGGCAAAGGGGCACCCTACCCCGGTGCCACGGGAGCAGCTGCAGCCCGGGCGCGTGGCAGGAAGGCCTGGCAGGGCGGGGGAGGATAGCAGCTGCTCTTCCACATGCACCTATTGAGTGCCCACTGTATGCGTGGACTCGTGCAGATGGACCAACAGCACAGGCAGGACACAGCACACACATCCCAGGCTGGGGAGTCGCAGGCTCCCTTCTGTAGCCAGGAGAGCATTTATTAAGCTCCTACTGTGCACCCTGCCCTGGTCAGGACTCAGAACTGGCTGAGAGTGGGAGTCGGGCTGGGTCTCAGGCAAATTGGAAATCAGGACGCCCAGGGACGAAAGGATCCAACTGTAGGGAGCAGAGTCTGAGCAAGGTGGGGGCTCAGGAGGGCGGGAGAAGCACCCTCCGTTAACATCTTTATTCCAAGCTAAACACATGGCAGGATTTTTGCAGGAAATTCTGTCTTCTGTGGAACCTTGCATTTACCTGCTGTGTGACTCAGTTTCCCCTCCTGTTAACGGTGGTTATGAGTCCACTGTGGAGCGTTACATGAGAGGTGGAAAGGGCTTCCTCAGCACAGAGGCAGACCCAGCTGAGCACTCAGTGAGGGGTGGCTGTGAGCAGGAGAGGCTCGGGTTCAAGTCCCGGTCGGTGTACCTCATGCCCGCATCAGTTACTGGAGACTCACATGTTGCGAAGATGCCAAATAGGTTTGGGGGAGACTTTCAGAGTAAGACCAGGAAGAAAGGCCTGGCAATCAACTTCTGAAAACCCTGTGGACGCCAATGGCTGAATCTGTAGCCCCTCCTGGGAAGGGTGTGTCACTGGACAGCAGCTTCACCAACATGGCAAACCAGGGGTCACCCCACGGCCACTAGCAACAACAAGGGTGGGATGCGTTTGTTGTTTTTTTTTTAACCAAAATATTATTCGTGTTCTTGGTTTACAGACTGATGGGCAGCGGGGCGGGGCCCTGGGGACACGGGGCAGGGGGATGGGCCTGAGGGCCAGCATGGCCAGAGGTGCTGCCCCCCCCACAAGACCTCTTCCCACGGGCTGGCCAGTGTAGAGAGGGGTACAGTTAACACAGTCTCATCCTCTAGCCCCTAAAGTGACCACATCGGGGTGGCCAGGGGGAGGTCCAGCTCAGTCACAGCTTCCAGAAGCTGCTCCGGACAGGCGGGTCCTTGAAGACGATGGAGGGGCGGTGGGGCTCCTGGGCCTGGGGCTGCATGGGGGTCCCCTCTCCGCCCCCACCAGTGTCCTCGTCCCCACGCCAGGCCAGTGCCAGCCGCAGGTCCAGTTCCTCCAGGTCCTCGCCCGCCAGGCTTGGGCGCAGCTCCCGGGGAGTGTCCTCTTGGTCCGGCTTCGGGCCGAAGGCCCAGTCTGTGGCAGTGAGCGGGGGGAAGGGCCCCCGGTCACCTCAGCTCGTGTCCACCCACGGCCCCAGCCACTGACCCTTGAATGCACCCACTCCCCCAACTCCATCCACCAAGGACCACCCCCAACCCCGGCGATGCACAGACCCACCACCACCCCAGGGCACCAACTGGGACTCAGCCCCTCTGATGCCTTCACCCACCGACCTCGGCCCCTCAGTCCCTCAGTCCTCCCGGTGCCCCCTGGGCTGGGCAGGCCCTCTGCCCCAATGCCAGCCCTGTCCGGCCGGCAGTCAGTGGCAGCTCACCGGCCAGGTCGTGGGCCAGGTCCTTGATGAGGTGGCCGACAATGGCGTAGGCCACGGTCACCACCAGCAGCGCCGCCAGCAGCAGGTAGAGCACGTCCCGGGGCAGCCGGATGGTGTCCAGCGGCGGCGGCTGGTACTCCTTGTACAGTGGCGTGGCCGCGCTCCAACCCTCGGGGTCCTCCTCGGCCAGCCCCGGCATCCTGCCCGCAGCAGCCCGGCCCGGAGGTGACCGCTCGGCGGAAGTATTAAGGAGCTTTGGGCCTTAGCCTCTTAAGGATCGGGGGCTCCCCTCTGGTCACCATCTGCTGGGTTAATCCCACGGCGGTCACTTCCGGAGGCCCTGCGTGCCCCCCGCCCTGGCTCCGGCCATCGGCCTCTGCTCACGTTCTTCCCGCCGCCGGACCTCGAACTTGCCCTTTGCCTGCCCAGTCCGCCTGCCCTGGCTTTTCACGTGGCCACTCTCTGGCCTCACTCATTCTCCAAACATTTTCACAGTCCCTGCTGTGGCCAGAAGGAGCCCTGGTGGTGCAGAGGTTAAGCGCTCAGATGTGAACAGAAATCATCGTTCGCAGCTGCTGTGAGCTGCGCTCAGCGACCCAAGCGTGGGGAGCTGTGTGTGCTCCAGAGGGCTCCCAAAGCTGTGACCTCTGCAGAGGGTTGCCAGCCCTTTGCTCGGAAGCACCTCGGGCTGAGACCTCTCTGTTAACAGGGGGGCACTTCACTGCACTGTCCAGGGGCCAGAAAGCAACCTGACCTTCGTTTTTCTTGTTGTTATGACTCATGGTGACCCTGTGCACAGGGGATCCTTGCCTTGTTCTGTCCTGTGCCGTCCTCATCTTGTCTGGTACACGTGAGGCCATCGCTGCAGTCACTCCGTCAGCCCATCTTGTTAAGGGGCTTCCCTGCCTTCGCTGACCCTCCACCTTTCCAAACATGATGTCTTTTTCCGAGGAACAGCCTCTCCCAGCAACACACCCAAAGCATGCACGATGAAGCTTCTCCCTCCCAGCCTCCAAGGATCTCCCTGGCTGCACTCTTCCCAGGACATAGCTGTTTGCTCCCTTGGCCGCCCATGGGATGGGTATTCAGCTGTCTTCCCCAGCACTCACAGCTCAGAGGCCTCTCCTTCTGCCATTTTTATCCACTGCGCAACCCTTAGAAGCATAGGAAGTAGTTGAAAATGCCTAATCCTTGATTCTTTCAATTGCTTCCTGTGCATCTGACAGTTGGACAATAAATAAGGCTGACAGAAGAACAGATCCCTTGAATTGTGGCGTTGGAGAGAGAATTGAGTGTCCCATGGACGGCCAAAGCTACAAACAAGTATGTCCTGGGAAAAGAGCGGCCAAGTTTAACCTTGGAGGCCCGGAGGGCAAAGCTTCATCACATCACACAGACTTTGGGCATCTTGTCAGGAGAGGGTATTCCTTGGAGAGGGACATCACACCTGGAAAGGTGGAGGGCCAGGGAAGGAGAGGAAGACTCCCGACTGGATGGATTGACACGGTGACTGCAGCATGTTAGAGACGACAAGGAGGACACGGAACAGAGCGAGGTCCAGACCTTGTTCACAGGGTTGCTAGGCATCTGCTTGAGGGTACGTGACGGCAGAGCAAACGCTGTGCGTCAGGCGCCCAGCGTGGTAAGGGGACCTGGTAAAAGGACCCACATGGCCAGGGGGCAGATGGTCTGCTGCCCTCAAGAGTGTCTGGGTGGTGGGTTTACTGCCCCAAACGGCTTCCCGAGCCATTGACTCTCTCTACAAGGCTGGGTGGGGTGGTGCCACGGGGTGTGTCTGAGTGACCGGTGATGGGATTGGTTAGTTCCAACCCCACCAGGTCTAGATGGAGCAGATTTAGCAGTGAGGATGGGACCCTCCCTACCAGCAAGGAGGAAGAAGCGGAGAATGATGTCCTTTGGGGCCAGAGGTTCCTGGACGGTCAGACTGGGGTCCACAGGAGGACAGCAGCAGCCCCAGTGGAGGGCCAGTGACCGCCACGAAGCAGGGGGGGCCACACCCCATAACTGTATGACTCCGTGGGGTCCATGTGGCCACTACCACAGATTCCAGACCCAGCTGGAGAGCGGGGGGAGCCCTGGACTGCTGCCCTGTGGAGCCAGAGCTGGGCCTTCACTCAAGCTTGCTGGACGCCTGCGGAAGATGCCGTCATGGGGGGGCTGTCGGGTGCTGTCCAGTCGGAACCGACCCACAGCTGGCCCTCCAGCGGGGTCGCAGAGGCACTATACTGCACCCAAGGAGATTACCCATTTTTCTCCCCCAAAGCAGCTGGTGGATTCGAACCTTGTGCTTTTGGGGACTGTAGTGTAGCTTCTTACCACAAGGATACCAGGGCTTCCATAGTCAGCAGGACTCAGAAAATGTAACACTGAGCAAGGCCATGAGGCCGAAGAAGGTCACGGGGCCCACGAGCACGTCTGAGAGGCTGTCCTGAGGAACGGTCTGCTGTCAGCCTGAACTCTAAGCTGTCAAGTTCCCAACAAACCCCATAGCCGTGAGTATGACTCCGTGGGGTCCATGTGGCCACTACCACAGACTCCAGGCCCAATCGGAGAGCAGGGGAAGCCCTGGGCTGGTGTTAGAGTGAGTCGAGGGGGGTGGGGAGTGTGGGGCCCCCGACTGAGCTCACAGGAACTAGCTTTGCCCCGTGGGTGTTGTTGATGGGGAGAGTTAACAGATGGTGAAGTTAACAGATGTCAGGAGAGGCCGTCCCCACACCGCCCCCACTCTTTGCGGCGCTCCTGATGAAACGAGCTTGCAGCCTTTCACCACCCCACCCCCTCACCCCACCATGACTGGCTGCAGATCCACAAGGCTTTTCACTGGAGGGTTTGCAGAAGTCGATTGCCAGGCCTTTCTTCCTAGTCCATCTCTCTCTGGAAACTCTTAGTGCTGAAATCTGATCAACATCACAGTAAGAGTGGTGCTGGGTGTCCGTGAGGGCACCGCCGGGGACCTGCCAGGTGGCTGTGAGGGCACCGCCGGGGACCTGCTGGATGAGGGCACCGCCGGGGACCTGCCAGGTGTCTGTGAGGGCACCACCGGGAACCTGCCGGGTGAGGTCACCGCCGGGGACCTGCCGGATGTGCACGAGGGCACTGCCAGGAATTGAACCTGGGTCTTCTGTACTCCCGGGGGAACCTACCACCGGACCACTACTGCCTCACAGGAGGGATACAGATACTGTTTACAAAACACAGTGGCCAGGGGCTCCCTGCTAAGGGCATTTGAGCCAAGAGCGAGAGGAGAAAGGAAATTAACTGTGTGTGTGTATGTACGTGTGTGTGTATCCCGGGTACATGATTTCAGGGCAAAGCAGGCCTTTTCTCAGTCCAACACCTGGGGAATTTGCCTTTCCATACCAAGTATCCGGCCTCTGGAAACCCTGTTACAAAGAGGAACACAGACAGCCATCGTACTAGAGGTAGAGACCAGACCGGAAGAATCAGAATGAGGAGAAACAGCTGCACGTCCTTTACGGTGGGCTGACACGGTGACGGCAGCAATGGACTTGAGCGCGGCAGGAGGTGTGAGGCTGGCACAGGATGGCACAGGGTTCAGATCTGTTGTTCACAGGATTGTTAGGAGTCGTACTGGACTCCACGGCACCAAACAACAACTACAACTGCAAACATGCTGAGACACTCTGGTGGTCTAGAGGAGAGAGGAGTTGTGCTACTAACCCAAAGGCGTGTGGTTCAAATCTTACTCCTGCTTTTTGGGATAGAGATGGGCCATCTCCTCTCTTGTGATTGATAATATCAGAAAACCCGCTGGAGGGTCAGCTAGGAGTCAGTTCCAACTGGACAACTCACAACCCCAAAGGCACTGAATCAGAATATGTGACTACCCGTTGTCTAAAACTGTAGATGATTTTGCATACCTGGGGTGAAACGTGGGGTGAACCAGTGTCAAGTCCTGGGGCAAAGACCTTTGCTGGCCCGTTGGAGGAAGTCAGGAGGCAGGTGAAGAGTGGGACAGAGGAGTGGACAGCGTGGGGGGTGGGGCAGGGCATTTCTGCAGGGCCCTGGACACAGGAGGGCACAGCTGTTACTTAAGGGAAGCACCTGGCTCAGGCACTCTCGGGCGCCCCCGGCAGCTGAGGAGAGAACAGAACGTGGGTGGAGTGAAGGGCTGGACCCCAGGAATAGATGAGGGCCCCACAGGCGAGGCGGCAGTGGGGTCAGTGCTGGGGCTTGACTGGATGGACACAGAGGCGGCCAAGTGGGTGGATTTGAGATCACCTCTGAGCTGGTCCACCAGAACGCCTGTGAGAAAACCAGTCATTTCAGGCTGTTAAATTTGGGCTAATTTTTTACACCAAGCCAGCTTCCCCCAGTCAACCCCAAGTTACGGGCCCCGTGCATCAGAGCAGATCTGGGCTCTGCAGGGGTTTCGGTGGCTGACCTTTCAGGAGGTCACCAGGCCTTTCTTCCGCAGTGCTCACCCCAGCACAGGTTATGAGTAGGACACACAGGGGTCTTAGCTGGGAGGGTCTTCCACCGCCATGGAAGTAAAGACTGCAGGGCCTGGGGACCGGCCGGTGAGAAGAGCGGAGGAGACAGGTGGGAGACGTTGGAAGCACTTTGTTTCCTGGTAGGAAGCGAGGTTGTCCTCCAAGAGTGAGGAGGGCAGAGCTGGGAATAAGGTGCACTGAGCGCAGGCGGGGTGTGTGGACAAGACGCACTTCACATAAATCCTACCCCAGTGGAAAGCTTGGTGCGCAACGGGCCCACGCGACTGAGGGGGGCTGAAAATGGAGCCCACAGTGTGGTTCTTAGTCACACCAGTAAATGCCTCCCTCTGGGTCCCCAACAGGACCTGAGATGAGGGGCTGCTGTTTCCTCGGACCCCTCCACTGCGATGGTGGAACAGGCCTCTGACAGGGACGGTCACCTGAGTGAGGGAGACCTGCGCTGAACACATCAGCTGCCCACCCTCCACTGCACACCCCCCACGCCCAGCCTTCTCTCACAAAACACTGGAGTCCACGTAGGTAAAAATAATTTAATATTCTACTTGCACAGAGCAGGGGGCTGGAGGTGTGGCTGGGCTCCCCGGGCCCCAACCCCAGCAGCACGAGGACTAGCTCCCCACCCCATGGGGCCCTGGAGGTCAGTGCTCTGAGGAGACTGCAATCTCAACCCCTCCCCAGATTTCCCCAGCTGGGGCTCCTGCCACCCTTTCCCAGAGCCACCCCTCCTGCCCAACACCCTGTCAGAGTGGATTCAGGGATCCTTTCACCAGCAAGGCCAAGATGGATTCGGAATAAGATCCAGTTTGTACAAGCTCAGTTTATACACCGAAGTCTCGGCAGGTCCTGGGGCATCAGGGCCCCAAATTCCAGAAGTCTGACCTTTGGTGCAATCCTGATGGAGGTGGGAGGCTGGTTCTGGGGTGCAGGACCTGGGGGGGCTGTCTGGACAGTTCTGGGGTGCAGTCTCAGGGGAACTGCTTGGCAGGTTCTGGGGTACAGCCTCAGGGGGGCTGCCCGGCGGGTTCCGGGGTACAGGACCTGGGGGGCTCTGTCTGGAGGGTTCCGGGGTGCAGCCTCAGGGGGGCTGCACGGCAGGTTCCGGGGTGCAGTCTCAGGGGGACTCCACGGCGGGTTCTGAGGTGCAGCCTCAGGGGGGCTGCACGGCAGGTTCCGGGGTGCAGTCTCAGGGGGACTCCACGGCGGGTTCTGGGGTGCAGCCTCAGGGGGACTCCACGGCGGGTTCCGGGGTGCACCCTCAGGGGGGCTGCCTGGCAGGGGGCCTAGCAGGGGCGCAGGCGCTCCAGCCCGTCGGCGTACTGGAAGGCCTCCGCAAGCTCGTGCTCGTACATGTCCAGGGCCACCTCGCAGCTCTCGCGCACCACGCGCTCAGGGTCCTCGACGTGAGCGCGCAGCGCGGCCAGGCAGGTGGGATGAGCGATGGCGCCCAGGGCCTCGGCGCACTCGTGTCGCACCATGGGGCTCTCGGTGCTGCGGGCCAGCGTGGCCGTCAGCTGGGGCACCGCCGCCTCGTGCTGCAGCTGGCCCAGGACGTAGCCCACCTCGTGGCGGAAGAGCGCGCTGCCGCAGCGCAGACCTGCAGGAGGGAAGAAGAGGTGTTGAGGGGGCTGCAGGACGTGGGGCTCAGGAAGCAGAAAGGATGACGGGGCTGGAGAAAAGATGGAAAGGGGCTCCCGCCCCCCCACCGTCAGGACCCACGGCTCCGAGCAGGAGAAGGGGCGCCGGGGGCAGTCATGACCCCCTATGCTGACCCCTGCGATGAGTTTTTTAAGGCAAGAAGAGGACTTCGAGCATCAAGGTGGGGCAGAAGCCATGGACAGAGCATGGACGGTTTCCAGACACCCCGGTCCCCAGCGCAGCCCCAGCGTGCTGGTCAACCCCGGGGTCCAGACTCCACGCTGGCTTTTGGTAACGCTGGCGCCGAACCCTGAGGCCCTCCTTGGATCCAGGAAAGTGGTAATTTTACAGAGTGGGGAAAGGAGACTTTCTCAAGACCCCCCTGTGCTTCCCGGGTAGAATAGGGCTTTGGAGCGAGCTGGGTGTGGGCCCTGCCATCAACCACCCACACCGCCCCTTTTCCCTGCTGGCCATCTCAGGATCCAGGGAGAAAGCCAGCCTTGGTCTGGGTTGGAGATGGTCAGCCAGCTCGCCTACCACCCGGGAGGTGCCTGGACAGCAGTGAACAAGCCTGGGTCCCTGTGGGGCTGTGGTGGGCCCGCCTCAGGGTGGTACTTCTTCCCACGGGTCCTCATAGGAGCCTCCTCTCCTGCCCTCGGTACCCCCTGCTCAGCGCCCCCCGCCCCAGCGCCCTTCTTACCCTCGGCCAGCGCCAGGGCTGCCTCCTCGCCGCCCACATTGCGCAGGGCGAACATGGCGCGATAGCGATCGAAGAGTGGCCGGGCCTCGTCCAGGAGCGCCTCCCGCAGCCGCCCCACGTCCTGCTCCTCGGCTGGTGGGGCCGGGTCCACCGAGAGGTAGGGGCCCTCTGCTGGCTCCCCCCTGTGCTGCTGCAGCCACTCCAGCCGCCGGACGGCCAGCTGGCACGTTTCAGCCACCTGCGGAAGGGGACAAGGGTCCTTGTAACACTGGGCGGGAGAGATGCCTTCTGGGCCAGCCAGGGATGGCCAACACAGAGACTAACGGGTGGGTCCAGATTAGAAGTCAAGCAGCATCCTGTCACTGGAGGGGGAGAGGCAATCAGGGGAGGCTTCAAGAAGGAGGTGACATTGGATCAGAGACCTGAGCCAAGCAAAGAATGAACAGAAGTGTGTCCCGTGCAAAAGCCCTGAGGTAGGACTGGGCCTGGTGTTCTGCAGGCCCATTAAAGACACATGGGACTGGAACAGAGGGCACAAAGGGGAGCGAGGAGGGCGGGCAAGGCATGTGAGGACACTGGGCTTTTACCAAAGGTGGGAGGCCTGGAGGGCTGAGGGCACAGGGAGGAGCCGGGCTCAGGTGCGCACCGGCACGTGGGTGCCCTCTGGTGGCTGCAGGAAGAACAGCCTGTGCGGGGTGAGGGCAGGAGCCAGGACCAGGGAGGATGTGACTGTGCTGGTTCAGGTGAGCAGAAAAGGGAGGCAGAGATGGGGAGAAGTGGGCTCTGAGAAAACCTGGCAGCAAAGCCTTCCAGGCAGCGGGAACAGCTTGTGCAAAGGCCCTGAGGCAGGCATGGCCTATGAGTTGGAAAGCCAAGGGGGATCCTGGCTGGAGCCAGGAAGCACAGTGGGTGGTGGACACGTGGGCTGTGGTGGAGACGTGGGCTTGTCCTGACGGTGCTGCGTGTGTGGTGACAGGAGTAAGTGACAGAAGTGCCAACAGGCCTGAGGACCCCACACCATCAACTAAAGAGCAGAGAGTGAGGACTGTGTCCTATGACAAGGAAGGAGCCGGTGAGGAGGTGTGTCCCGTCACGGGTCCCCACTGCCTGTCCGTTCATGGCACGGAGCCACTGGTGGATTTGAACCACCTACCTTCCAGTTAGGGGCTGAGTGCTTAGTCATTCATTGTAGCACCAGATCAAGTCTGAACACACTGGGCCCAGGGAAATGTCAGACCAAAGGTCCCGTCCTGAATGATCGCGCTGATGTTTCTCTGGGAAAACGTACAGAGAGGCAGACCCTGACAGGACGTGGACAGCAGCTGGGGAGGGGGAACGGGGAGTGAGGCCGAGGGGTGGGGGTTCTTTGGGGGGATTGTGGTACAACCTGTGAACACTCTGTACACAGTGAACTGTACATGTAAAGTTGGGGGTTGCATGGTGGATGAGTTAAGCTTAGGTCACCTGGTGAAGGAATGAGAAAGCCAGTGGGGGGCGGGAGGAGAAGGGGTGGAGGTGGGCAGGGCAGAGAAGGAGGGGTTCAGGAAGGTCCTGGCAAAGAGAAAGGGTGTGGGCAGCAGGGGACCCCACGCCCCATCCATTCAGTGGATGACCAGAAGGGCCTCCTCCCTTAATCCTTGGGCGCCTTTGCTCATGCAGTTGCCATGGCAACCAGAGACTGGGACCGAGGCTAGTTCAAGCCATGGCTGGGCAGAGCTTCCCATGGGCCCATGGAGAGAGAAAGAGAGTGGGGTATCACTGGGAGGGAGGGTCAGAGGTCAGAAAGGGGGCCTTACCTCGATCACAGGGTCAGTGGAGTACTCCTTCAGAATGTCCAGAACTTCTGGGTTCCCAATGGCCCCCAGCGCCTCTCCTGAAAAGCACCCAGAAAAGTCACGTTGGTTAGGAAATGAGGGTGTCCACTCAGCTTCCACTTTTGCTCTTGACATCTGGAGCCAGGAAATCAAAAGACAAATTGCACTGGGAAAATCTGCTGTTAGGGACCTCACCAGAGTGCTGAGAAGCAACGATGTCACTCTGGAGACTAAGGTGCGCCTGATCCAGGCCATGGGCTTTGCAATTACTTGCTATGCCTCAGAGCTGGACAAGGATTAAGGATTGCAGTAGAAGAATTGAAGCCTTAGAGCTGTGGTGCTACAGAAAAGTTCTGAGCATACATACTGTGGACTGGCAACAACACAAATAGGTCTGTCTTGGAGAGGGTGAAACCAAGTTTTTCCTTGGAGGCTAGGATTTGAATACTCCGTCTCACACACTTTGGGAATGTGGCCAGAAGGGACCAGTCTTTGGAGAAAGACATCATGCTGGGAAGGGTGGAGGACAGAGCAGGAGAGGAAGACCCGCTTTATCGTGGGGTCTGGGATCACCCTGATATCCCTGGGTCGGCCTGTCCTTTCTCGGAACACCTCGAAACTAAATTCCAGTGTCCATGAATAAAGTGTTATAGACACACAGGCCTGCCCAGTCATGTAAAGGCTGTGTCCTCTCCCACTGCAGAATGAAATGGCTGGGACAGGGACACTCTGGTCTGCAAGCCCACCACCACCGACTTTGTCTCTTTGCAGGGGCAGCTCGCGGCACCCTCTACGGAAGCCTGGAAGGCTGTGCAGGGTGAGGAGGGAGGAGGCACCGTGTGTGTCTGCGGGTATGTGTGACAGCTCCACCCGCCCCACCTGCCGTGACACCCTCACTCACCTGCCTCGTGGCGCACGATGGGCTCCTGGCGGGTGTCGCGCAGCACGTCGAGCAGCACGGGGATGGCGCGCACGTCCTGCATCTGGCCCAGGCAGTAGGCCAGCTCGTGCTTGAGCAGCTCGGAGTCGTCCTCGAAGGCCCGGCTGATCCAGCCGATGGCGGAGGGGCCCCCGAGCCCGCGCAGTGTGAACAGCGCCCGGAAGCGGGCCTGCAGCGGTTGCTGGGGGTCCACCAGCACGCGCCCGATGGCCTCCAGCTCCTGCTCCGTCACCATGGTGTCTGGAACCCGGCTGCCTGGGGCGCGTTCAAGGTTAACTGTGACCAGCTGAACTGTGTCCCCCCAAAAGGTGCCCGGGGGTCGGGGGTGGGTGGGCGGCTGCACGCACAACAGAAGGAAACCTCGCCGTGTCCTGCACCAGCCTCACCATCTCCGCGACACGCTGCCCACTGCAGCTGCCACACGTCAACCTGCTCTTCACGGCCCCTGCCTTACCAAGCCATGTCCTTCCCCAGGGACGGGCCCTCCTGATAACATGTCAGACCAGCTCCCAACATCCCCGCTTCTGAGGGGCACCCTGGGGCCCGTCTCCCAGCACAGCCTCCTGAGGCTGGGACCCCTGGATTTCAGCAGTGCTGCACCCCATCACCGAGCAGGGACAGGTACACAGTAGGTCCACCACATAAAACAATGCTGACGTCGACCCAGCATTTACGACATGCCAGGTACCCCCTCGTCCAGTCAATTCAAACTCATGCTGACCGCACAGGACAGGGTGGGACTGTTCTTGGGACTGACAAGGCTGTAATATTTACAGGCGGGGTCTCTGGTGGCGTGGTCTGGAGGGAGCACCTCTTTGGAGGGAGACAAATGGGCAATTTCCTGTCGAGGGACGTGGAACCCCAGAAACACAATGCAGTCAGCTGTGAGTCGGTCTTGACGTCTCATGAGTTTAAATCTTTCAGACGCAGGCTGCCACGTCTTTCTGCCAGGGACCGGCTGGTGGGTTTGACCCCACACTGCACGCACTAAACCGACAGGGCTCCAAAGCCTAAAGGTTCAGGGGCTCACTTAGTGATGTGAGGAGACAGAGCCAGCTTGGCTGTAACGCAGGAGGGCTATGCTAAGCTGACCCTGACCGTGGGGGTGGGGATGAGGCACAGCCCGGCCGGAAGGGGGGTGCTGCTGTCCTGAGGGCCTGGGATGTGTTGTAAAGCCGGCCGGCAGGCAGGCTGCGGCATGCCACCAGCCAGTCCTGTTTCCCAAGGAGTCGGCACCTGGTACACCAGGGAGATGCAGCAGCCTGAGCCCCGCTGACCATCAAAAGAGCAGCACCCCAAAAGGGACACCCCAGAAGCCACACTGCCAGGAGCTTGTAAGCCTAGAGGGTGACACAGCCGTCGGGACTCAAGGACTGTTCTACCCAGGAGAGCTGTGTCTTGTCACAGGCAGACAGGACCCGGGATCCTGCCGTGTGGGGCCTGCCTCCGCACACCTGGCCAGAGGTCTATGCTGCCTCCTTGTCCCCAGACACCTTAACCTCCAGAGAATGGAGAGCCCCCAGCCAGAGGGCAGCCTTGGCGACAGGAAGTGCAGTGGTCCTCCTGGCCTGGCCTGACTTTGGCCTCCTATGTCTGAGCTTAGTGTCTTCACTTGGAAGAGAAATAAGACTAGTTAGTCTTATCCAGGCTTTCACGTCTTGGCATCCCGACCACCCTTTAATTTAACTAATAGGCTCTCCCTGTTTTTATCATATAAATTAGCCTTGGACTTGCTACCTGCTGCATGGGCCTGTCCTCCGTCTAATTGCCTGCCTCTTCCTACCACAAAGTAACTACTACAAGATCAGAATTTTTAAAATACACATATGGACTCAACTGTCCACTACTGTGTCCCCAGGTCCCAAGGACCTAGCCATGTCTGTAAATGGGGTAACAGAACAGCCGGTTGCTATGGTATCAACTCGGATGCTTGCCTATCTGGATAAAACCATACCGAGAGCTCTCCAGAATTTTTTTTTCTGGGGAGGAGGTTACCAGGCCTTTCTTCTGAGGCACCTCTGAGTAGCTTGAACTTGCAACTGCTGGGTTAGCAGCAGAGCTTGTTCAGCATTTGCAGCTCTAAGGCTTCCATCACCACAGTAACCACTCAGTACATGTGTGCTGAATAAAGTAACTGAGCGTTTCCTTTGTACCAGACACAGTCCTAGGCACTTTAGACACAGCCTCCTATCAGGAAAATGGGTATGAGGAGTATTACAGGGACATTATAAACTTGCAGCAAATGGCATGAAGCTCCTCATACACACGTGATAAAAGGAAGGCTGGTGGTGTAACTGGGGAGCGCTGGTGGCCTAGTGGGTGAGGTGCTGCAATGGTTAAACCAAAAGGTTACTGTGGGGGAAAGACCTGGCGATCTGCTCCCATAAATAAGCCAGCCTAAAACCTACAGGTCCCTTTTCAGCAGTAAGTAGCTAAGAGAATACAAAACCCCCTTTTCCTTATGAATCAGGGTGAAGTCTCTCTCAGGGAGGAGTGATAGGGAATGGCAAAGACACACTGACAAAGGAGATGAATCAGAACTGGCTTTGACAAGCACTGTGGCAATGGGGCAATTAAAACAGACTTTGAAGGGGAAGAAAATAAAAAGAGGAACGAACTTGGGGGGGGGAGGTAGAGAAAATAGTGCAACAATGAATGAATGGAAACCCAATATCTCTGTAAATGTTCGTTAAAATTAATAAAATAAAATAAAAAAATAAAAAGCCAGCCTAGGAAATCCGATGGGGCGGTCTACTCTGTCTACATGGGATCGCTGAGTCAAAATGGGCAAAGTACCGCCCAACGATATGAAATATTTCCTTCTGCGCTCAGGAGGATAAGAGCAGACATCAACTGCCATCTCCAAAACCCTGGATCAGCACTTAGTCTCATTTACCTGGGGGAATGGGCGGGACCCGGGATGCCAGGGATCGGCCCAGCTGTCAGGGGCCGCAAGGCAGTTCCTCCAGGGGCTGGAAGGAGGCCTGGATCCCGGGCAGCGCGCACTGCCACCCCGACCCCACGTGAGCCCGCTCTAAACCGAGGATCCCCAGCAAAGATCTCCCAACCTAGACTCTTCCCAGAAGGAGAGACGGGCGATCCCTCTGGGGCTGCGATCCCCCGACAGCAAGTGCACATCGACGTCCACTAGAAAGAATTTCCAAGAACCAGATGCCTCACGACCTGCCCATGCGGACCAGCTACTTCTGGGTCCCGCAAGGCTGGCCGCTGAGCTCCTGAGACTCCCAGGAAAGGGCCACCCGACAAGGGATTCTCCACTAGCCGAGTCCCCAGGTCCCCAAAACCCGAGAGGAAGCGATCACCGAGACCCTACACTCCTCCGGAGGTGGCCCGCAAAGAAGTGAATCCCGGCGGCTGGAAGCCCCAACCCGCCTGGCCCGCGCCACTCACCGTGTTCCCCGCCGCCGACGTGTCCAGCGAGATCCAGGGCGCAGGGTACGCGGATTCGCCCGTCTCCCGCGGTTCCGCCTTCACCAACTGCGGCCCACGTGACTGTGGGCGGTACCAAGGCCGCGAATCCCGGGGGGGAGATGCAGTCAAAGGATCCTCAGAATTAGGAAATCTAGGGAACCAAGCCCCCACAAAGGCAATATTTAAAATATTAATATTGCTCCATATCTACATATCAGTAAACGTTAACTATTGTTTTATTTCTTTTCTCGGGAGAGATTGTGCCAGACCTCACCTGCCGGTGAACATGGTTTATTCCGATTCAGGAATGGGCGGGCGCCGATTGTGTACAGAGCATGCGTGGTTTCTGTGGGGCGTGGCCAGGCCCCAGGGGCGTGGCCAATGGTCTGGCTGGAGCCACGAGATGAAATTTAGTGCACTTGACTATTAACCCTGGTTCTTGGCGACCCTCAACAGAGAGAATTAACCAATCCTGCACCCCATCCGTCATCGTTGGTGGGCTCGAGGACGTGGTGGCGGTCACTGTATATTTTGAGTGCCTTCCAGCACGGTTATCTGACAGCGTTCTGTGGGATTCATGGTCCATTCTTTTTTGTTGTTGTTAATTATTAAATTGTTTTTCATTTTAATGAACATTTACAGAGATTTTAGATTTCCATTCACTTATTGTTGCACTTTTATAACTGCTCCCCACCCCAAGTTCGCTCCTCTCCTTGAAAAGTAAAGAAAAATTCCCTCATTGGTATACAATCCGCCCCCCCCCACACCCCCAACCCAGCTACATACACTCCATTACGATCCATTCTTTTTTCATTGCTTGTTTTTTGGACACAGATGGCTGAAAGGACCAGTTAACAGAAACTCAGTTTCTGGTAAAGTACAGTTAATCCCACCCCACCAGCTTGAGTGGTTTTTAGCAAACAAACAACCCCCACCTGTGGTAAATCCCACCCTGATTGATGAACTGCCATAAAGTGGAATAATTCTTTTTAAGGGCACAAGGGATTTTTCCGCATTCCTGTATCTGAAGTAACCGATAAGATTCAAATAGGTTTCCAAACTGTTACCCTGAGCTATGGCTAGCCAATTGAAGGTGGACAAATACCCCAACTACTGTGGGTGGCCAATCATGCATGGCGTGTATGGTTGGGCAGGGGAGTAGCAGAGGTATAAAAGGAGGGGCAGACATCAATTCGGGGCTCTCGGCTGGATGCTGCTGTGTCAGCACGCGGGAGCCCGGGTTCAAACTCGAAATAAACTTTGTTAGTTCGGCTAATTGGCTTGGTGTTCTTTTGGGGGACTTGCTCCGTTACAATGGCCAGGCCTTTCTTCTTAATCTGTCATAGTCCAAGAGCATCATGTTACTGTTGCTGTTGTTGTTAGGTGCCTTTGAGTAGACCACAGCTCAGAGTGAACTCTGGACAGAAGGAAATCCTGTCCTGTCCTGAGTCATCATCACCATCTCCGCCATGATCAAACCCATTGATACACCCCGTGTCAGACTATATTGTTGAAGGTCTTCCTCCTTCCTCTCTTCCGCTGACTTCCTACTTTTCTATGCATGATGTCTTTTTTTTTTTAAAAAAAGAAAAAATTTATTCCATAGGTTTATCAGTTAATCTCGTTTTTTGCATGATATCTTTTTCCAAGGACTGGTCCTTCTTGAAAACATGCCCAAAGTGTGTGAGACAAAGTTACACCATCATTGACTCTAAGAAGCACACTGTTCCCATGTCCTCCCAGACAGACCTGTTGATTCTTCTGGCAGTCAGTGTTGTCATTGAATACCTTCCAGTCAGAACCCACCCATAGGT